GGGAAGTCAAACCTATATTTCTGCTTACTCAGAGCTAAACTTTATTAGGTGAAAACAGTTAGAGCACTTAGTAATGGAGTGGATAGCGCTAACGATAAGATGGTCAAGCAATGCTCGGAAATCTTCGGACATTCACAAACGGTGAGAGCAGTTAGATTACTAATTTGAAATGTAATCATTTTTGAAGTGATAGAAGAAGGTTAGAACGAAGGAAGGTTCGCAAATATGGAAACGTGATGCGGTGTTGGACGATGACCCTATCGAGTGCGTTTGCATAGCCGCAACGCAAGCGCTCGCAAGCTACGAAGATTCAAATTTGGACTAGGAGCAGTTCAAGCCCCTCAAGAAAGCGTTGAAGTGCAGTTCGCTCTTTGAACGAGTGTTGTTTACGTCAGTACACATGTAATTCTCTAAAAGTTTGCGTCAGTTTACCGAGTTCATTTTTTTGCGAACTTGTTTTGCAACATTTAGCCTGTATTTTAACTAAAGGGGAGAGCTTTGCTAATTGCTTTTCGTTCAGGTTTTGAAGCCAGCCGATGTCCTACCCTTATGGTCCCGTTTAACCGCATACATGTACTGATCGGTAATTTCTGTTTTATTATCCTACTAATTATATATGTACATACGCAACTATCGCCTCAAACCAGTTTGGGACGAGCCTTGCCTAGGAACTGGACGGATCTTGAATCTAAACTCATTGTATTTTATAATCGCGTGAGTGGCACTATAGCTGCACTTATGAGTTTTGAACTGAAACATTTAGGTTCCAAAAACGGGTTCAACGACATTTACCAATGCCGTTGCTTATGACTTGTTTAAAGTCAATGATTTCAACGTGATACACCTGAATATGACCAAGAACAGGCAGGTATGCGTTACAAAATTGTATTTCTGTTTCTTTGCAATCATACAGCGCTATAAATCCTGCCTTTCCATTGGGCTAACATTGGAGACCCTTCTTTCTTTGTTTCACAGTAATAAGCGCTCTTCCCTTTCTTTACTTTGTTGATAATCCAAATGTTCGTACTTTATTATCACTGTTCTGGCAAGCAAATGCTGCTCAAATGCACTTTACACCATAATAGGCTTCAAAGCGGTTTTGAGGCACTACATAACCCTTTTAGGTGATGAGTCTTACCGATCAAGGTGAATTCATAAGAAACATAACTTCTTGGAGTGAGAGAAGACCAGCATTCTATCATGGACACGTTGCTTTCATCGACTTTACCAGGTAAACTTATTCTACCTCATTATCAGTGTTTTCTAAGATGTATTATTACAGATTTGGTTATAAAAATCCTGTTTATATCAATATTGTTCGAGAACCGCTCGAGCGTTTACTTTCACATTACTACTTTCTCCGATTTGGCGATAATTTTCGCATTGGACTGAAGAGAAGCAGAGCCGGAAACAACGAGGTGCCTTTTCTGGTTCGAATTTTGTTTAATATGAATAAATTCGGGCGGATGACAAGCGCGCGTCCGTTGATGCTGCGCGGTTTTGGAATTTTCATTTGAAGAGCACTGTTGACATGACATATCCGGATTGTTGAACCGCACTGCTGCATTGTTCGCAAGTTGTGCATTGTTGGCGTTTGATGACTAAGCAGGGAATGGTCAGGGCTTAACCCGCCATATCAAACAAGCTATATCTGATGCGGGATTTCATAGCATCTCATCGGACTAGCCTTGAAACGCTGATCTCAAATATATATTTGTAATCTGCCGAACGACTATGAAGGAGTTATGAGCGATTGAAGGTGCAATTTGTCAAGTGTTCTATGGAGTATGTTCCACGAAATCGTTTCAAGAACATTTATTTGAGGTTTTTGGTGAGCTTTTTCCTTGTAATCATAAAACTCATAGCCACTGTAAATCCGCTCCATCAGGCTGCCTTGCAATGAACTATAAGGCAGCGCCCAGAAGCGCCAGCGCCCAAAAGCGTCGGAACGCCGGAACGAAAACAGGAAGAAATACAAAAAAGAAAACACAAACACACGCATATTATTTACGCCAAGTTTGATAATGCCTCCGTGGAGGGGGCGT